ACACCTACAGGTTGGGTGGGGCAGTTGACATGCTGGAGGGAAGGGATGCTATGCAAAGGGACCTTGACAAGCTTGAGAGGTGGCCAATGCAAACCTCATGAAGTTCAACAAAATGGAGTACGAGGTCCTACATCTGGGCCATGGCAATCCCAGGCACACCTACAGGTTGGGTGGGGAAGTAACTGAAACCTGCAGTGAGGAGAAAGACATGGGAGTGACAGTTGATGAGAAATTTACAGCAGTGTGCACTAGCAGCCCAGAAAGCCAAAGGAATCCTGGGCTGCATCAAAAGGAGTGTGGCCAGTGGGTTGAAAGAGGTGTTTCTCTGCTTTTAGTCTACTCTGTGAAAACCCACCTGGAATGCTGCATGCAGTTCTGGTGCCCTCAATGTAAGAAGGACATGAAACTGTTGGAGCAAGTCCAGCTGAGGCCACAAAGTTGATAAGAGAACTGGAGCATCTCCTCTATGAAGATAGGCTGAGGAAGTTGGGGCTGTTCAGCCTGGGGAAGAGAAAACTGTGTGGAGACCTCATAGCAACATTTCAGTATCTGAAGGGGCCTACAAGAGAGCTGGCGAGGGACTCTGTTAGGAACTGCAGTGATAGGACAAGGGGTAACAGGTTCAAACTGAAGGAAGGGAGGTTTAGGTTGGATATTAGAAAAAAATTTTTGCTGTAAGGGTGGTGAGACACTGGAACAGGTTGCCCATGGAAGTGGTGGCTGCCCCAACCCTGGCAGTGTTCAAAGCCAGGCTGGATGAGGCCTTGAGCAACCTGGTCTAGTGGGGAGGTGTCCCTGCCCATGGCAGAGATGGTTGGTACTAGATGATCGGTAAGGTCCATTCCAACCCCTAAAATTCTGTGATTCTATGATACGATTTTATGATTATCCACCTGGTGCCCTGCCCCATTCATCAAGTGGGCTGAATGGGCTGACTGAATTAATACCCTAATTTTCTACCTCTCTGGTGGCAGTGTGTATAGTCACACAGGATACTTGACTAGATATACCTGGTTAACATTGTGGACTGTGGAATGTAAACCAACTTGGAACAGACAGGTCGGTTCTCATCTTTAGGGCTAGAGAATGTATTCTGGAGAACTGATAAGTTTGAGTGGTGCAATTCTGTAATCTTTATTCCCTGTGCCATTTGACCTGCTGGATGTTTTCGGCAATCAACATAATTTGCTGAAATAACATGTTACTGCTCAAACAAGCAAAACCTCTTCTTTATCCTCTTACTGAGAGAAAAACAGAATGTTTTATAAAACACTTCTTTCAGTACAAGGTCCTTAAAACTGAGCGTTGTTTTTAAATTTGCTTTTGCTTTCTTTTCTTTGCTGCAGAATCTCAGAGTTACACGGAAGCCATTAACCACTCTATGGTGATGTCTGACAGCACTGTGGGCACTAAGCCTCCTCTGCTGAGGGCCAACATGCAGACGGATCCCACCTTTCAGCGTTGTTTTGCATCTTCATGTACTATTTCAAGTAACAGTCCTATCCCAGGGACAGAAAGGTAGGAAAGATTCTCCTACTTTACTGTTTAGTTCTCATGACTGTAGTTTCCAGCCAAGACATTATGCTTGCATCTTCATTGCAGAGCATTTGTCCAAGGACTTTGAGTTTGGTTGTGACATTTACTGTTTGCATTGTTCACCGGCTGGAATTTACCATATACACAGATGTTACTTATATGTCAGTGGCACAACCAGCTTTGAAGATAGATAGGAAGACAAAAATTAATAGGATTCTATAGCTTGCTTATTTTATTATATGCTAGCATGATCTCATATATGTTTTTCTGTGTGCTTAACCAGCTTCTCTAATGTTTTGCTGAAAACTGTTTCATGAAATTTCACATTGAAGTAAGTTGCATATGAGAGAAAGGGAACGTTTTTCTCACTGCAGTGCATGTGTTTCTAATCAGTGAAATGTCAGTGGATTTGTTCTGACAGTGTATAGCTGACTCCTTTTCAACTGCTCAGCAGGCCGAGAGATTTAATTGTTTTATATTTATATTGTGGTAAACATGTAGGGTTTTGGACCAGAGCTTGAGTAGCATAAATATGCAGAGTAACCATTGTCCCAAGGAGATTACAGCATAAAATGAGAAATAGCAAGAAACAGCAAACGTAGGAATCCCTGGTTGAAGAAGGTAACAATGAATGATCAGTCATTAGCTGTGCTCTAATATTTATTTAAGACACAAGCTGTTACCTTACAGCTGATGAGGTTACCTTCTCTTATCACTCTGCAACATTCCTTTGTGGCTAATTATCCTATTCTCCTTCTCGGCTATTTGGCTTCTTTTTCACAGTAAGCATTTGGGAATGCTGTCAGTTGGTGTGTCAGACTCTCAGGGAGTATTTCAAGTGTGCTGGTACCTACTTATCTCTTATTTATCTTCCAATCTAATTGATTTCATTTTCAATCAGTACTGAGACTGTGAAAGAATGTTTTGGTTTTGTGATTACGAAAGTGAATCATAAGACCAAGCAAAGTATTTTGGTATTTACTGTGGAGGAGGCAATGTAACATTTCATTATAAGTGGATATGAATTAAAAGCTTACCAGGCAACGCAGTCATTATCAAGTTTACATTCCTACTTCAGACTTTATCTAGAAAACTTTGTTCCCTTCTTTCTAAATATTTTTTGACATTTTATATTTCATGTAGCTGCTAGCTACAGATGTACCTTTATTTTCTTGAGGTGTTGTCTTCCATTTACCTCCATTTCTTTATGGCACTTCTACTTTGAGCTGGTCAAATCTACTGGCATCCATTTCCACAGTTCCTTTTAATTAAAAACCTTAATATATATCTTATGTCAGCTCTTTTCCCTTTGCATTTTGGAATGAGTTTGTTCTTTCTAGATTTGATATTATTGGTAATATTTTCCAGCTACATTCTAAGGGCATTTCATTTTTAGAAGCAAGGAAAAAAACTTTTATATGATGATTTCATCAGAAGCTTAGTTTCTCATTTTTACAAGGACATTTTGTTTTATTTTTCACTTGAGCAGGTAGAATTGCTATCTAGTAGAAAAAAATGTAATGTTTACTGTTGAAATATTTAATTCTATCAATCAAAATTATTCCATTGTCAAATAAATTAACCCGTGGACCTGCCTCCCTTCGAGTTGGGCCTTCTGAACTGTGTTCTTGTCATAGTTATTAATTTATTGCATGATGGTGCACAACTACCTTAGCCCATTTCTTTTTTTTGTTTTTTTTTTTCTGGTGGGCATAAAACACTCTGCATGTAAGAACTGATGTGGCAGGTCATGTTTCTTCCATAACCCTCTGCCTTTTATGGCAGCTTTGGCTTAAGAAATTCTTGCCTCCTGCCACTCTTTTCCAGGTAACACTTCAGCTCATCAGGCCCACTGTATGTGAAGCAGTGCTGTGAACAGCCTCACTGAATTGATTCATATTAAAAGTAACCCTCTCAAACAGGGAGAAGGAGTGCTGTACTGTCATTAATTTGATGGACTTGTGTACCGTGCAAGCTCAGAAACTATCCCATCAACATGGCTAGGTGGAAGGCAGAACATAATGACCTCCACTGAAGAAATGAGTGATCAGGGTGAGGCTGGAATCCCTTGATCTGGCTGCATTACCTGGTCCAGTATGTTTTCAAAGAGCACCCTGAGGTATTGTCCTGGGTGTGGTGTTTGATTGCTTTTGCTGAAGTAGGGGTTGTACAGTGGCATTTTAGGGGAATGATTTGGCTGGTTTATTTTTGTGTTCAATTTTTTACTTTTTTTTTTTTTTTTTGACAGCTCTTCTGCAACAGAACGTCCTTGGCTTGAAAGCAGCCCTAAAGCTTCCCCATCACTCCAGTTTTCAATGGGAAACACCAGGCAGCCGGGAGGATACCTTGTGCCCTCTGAATTTTCAAACACCATGCAAGATATCTCTCTCTTGTCTCATTTCCAAACTCCAGGACTGCAAGTTGTCACCCTGAGCAGCCTGGAGAATTCACCAGCAGAGCCAATGCAGGAACATGCTATCAGCAGCAGTGCCCATGCTTGCATGAGCTACAGTGGGGGCAGTAGGGGCACTAGCTGTCCCCAAGAGGAGGCACAAGCTGCTTGCACAGCCAATACTATCACCTCTTCTAAAACCCTGAGTTCATCAGTGACAAATGCTGAGGACAATGGCTTTTTGACACAAAACTTTATTACAGTGGCCTCTGAACACAATAGCCAGAACAGTGCAGTTCAGCAGCATCATGGGGGAAACCTACATGCTCAACCGCCTCTTCCAGAGAAGAAGAGGTCTTCTGAAGGAGAACGTTCCCTTGCCTCCGTGTCACCTTCTTCAAGTGGCTTCTCTAGCCCCCACAGTGGAAGCACAATCAGCATTCCCTTCCCAAATGTCCTCCCAGATTTCTCAAAAATGATAAGCACTTCCCCAGTGCCAGGTAGGTTCCGCATCAGAGAAACGCAGAATACATTAGATTTTAATTGACTTTATAAAAAGCATTTAGGGGATCTTTAAAGTGAAGGGGGAGGGGAAAAGCAGTGGAATGAAAATGGCTTAGAGGAGTTGAATATTTGCAGTAAGTGGCTCCAGTTCACTGTCTTTGGCTGTATTATTCAGAAAATGTGGCAGCAGAGTTCTTCCTGTGCTTCCTAGATGTCAGCCAAGGGCAGCCTACCTTTGCAGCTGCCAAACTATAAGTGAGCAGTGTGGAGTCCAATTTCTTTTAATAAGGTCTGGCTTCTCTCTGCACCTTTTAGACTTGTACCAAGAATAGTTAAAAATGTAGATGTGTCTTTGCTAGACCCTGTTGAGAAGTTTGTATTTAGTACAGTTTTACAACTATAAGAGTTTTTAATATTTTATGGATTTTTCAAAATGAAACTTGAAGCATCTTAGTGTATGATGTTATATTTTCTGGTTCTAAAACAGCTCAGAGTTTCTTTAAATTGTCCTAATGATGAGTTTTGTGAGTAATTAAGGTGACTGGAAGTTGTAAAGAAAATTAAAAACGATTTTGTATTTAAAAAGTTTCTTGACCTTTTTCCCTTTTATTTCACAGAAAACACAACTGATAAACATGTGACCGTAAAATTTGTTCAGGACACATCCAAGTTCTGGTATAAACCAGATATTTCAAGAGAACAAGGTATATCAACTGATACCTATTCTGGCATTCACAGAAAAGCTAATGGGTGAAGTCTCGTTAAGTTTTTTTGATACATATCTGATGTCTAAAAGAAATGCAAAACCTAGAAGGGCCATAGACAACCTCACTTATTTTCTTTTACTGGAAGGCTGTATTTGAGTATGAAGGGCAGTCAAGTAGTCCTTAAAAAATATTCAGTATAATCAGACAAATTGTTAGCCTAACTGAGTTTAATATGAAGTAATTTCGATCTACCTGTGATAGCTGCTGCAGATGTCCTTTACTGAGTAGCTCCAGGTTTTGGAATGTCAGATATGCATGAAGCAATACCAAATTATTGTCTGCTTTCAGGAACCTTTTGAGTACAAGGGTGCTGTTCTGGCATCGTCTCAGAATAATTCATTAGCTAGAAGTCATCACAAAAGCATCCTCATCTACCAGTCAGTTCTGTGTAGTCTGAATTACATCGTCAGCTGCAAGTCGCATGCATTATTTTGTAAAGGTCACAAAATAACACTCCCATGGAACAGTATCTTTATGACGTACAGTGCGGGTACAGAACATTTTTATGTAGGTGTATTATTGAATGAGCTGAAGAAAACTTTTATTACCTATGTGAAAATGTATACCTACAAGCACCTGGAGTGCCATCCACCTCTGGGGTCCCCAGTACAGGAAGGACATGTTGGAGTGACTCCAGAGGAGAGCCACCAAGTCGACTAGAGGGATGCAGCACCTCTGCTATGAGGAAAGACTAAGAGAATTGGGTTTGTTTAGCCTGGGAAAGAGAAGGCTTTGGAGTGATCTAATTGTGGCCTTCCAGTACCTGAAGGAGAGGTGGAGAGAGACTATCTACTAAGGGCATGGAGTGACAGGCAAGGGGGAATGGTTTCAAACTGAAAAAGAATAGGTTTAGATTAGATACCAGAAAAAAATTCTTTACTGTGTGGATGGTGAGGCACTGGAACAGGTTGCCCAGAGAATTTGTGGATGCTGCTTTAAGTGTTTAGGGCCAGGGTGGATGGAACTCTGAGCAACCTCATCTAGTGGAAGGTGTCCTTGTCCACAGCAGGAGCTTTGAAGGTAGATGATCTTTAAAGTCCCTTCCAACCCAGACCATTCTATGCTTATGTGATTCTATGAACTTACATCTTGTCCCTGCAACTGTGCATAAATATGCATGCTAGGTACTGCACAAATGCAATAGGTTTTACTGTGTCTGTACTGTAATATTGAGCTATACTGAATTGTGATTAGTGAGTTATGGCAGGATTTTAAAGTGGGATTCATAAAATGTGGCTGTCCAAAAAGAAGAATTACTAATTAGTTATGCATTGAGAAGGAAGTTCATGCTAAACCAAAACACTCTGAACTTCAGCTGTTAGCAACTGATGAATTGCTATGTTGGTCTAGTTCACAGGGTCTCAGATGGTCTCTTGTAGAGTAGTGGTAAATATGGTCCCAGGGAAATAAAGATCATAGAAAACAGAACATTAATTTATTTTTGGATTATGTTCTACTAGTCCTTTCATTCCATTCCACTTCCCCATATCTGCTCAGCACCCATAATGAGAACTGAGTTTTTAAATGTGCAGAAAAATATTTCCTGACTTGATGCGGGTCCAGAGAGGGAAGTAGATCATAAAGAAATTTTAAACCTAACTGCTTGAATAAATGAGACAAAAACCTTTCCAACCTTTTAATATGCCTCTTTTTATCCTTGAAGTAAAATTCCTTTAAAAAATGTTTTAAGATACTGTTGTTGAGAGGGGGAGTATTTGTTATTTTTTTCTGTGTTGGACTGCCCCTGTGGCAAATTATTACTGTCTCCCTGTGGATTTAGAAGTGTTACGTGACTACTGCTGAATTGTGGGGTTTTGCATATTCATCCTCATCCTCTCAACACAGGCCATGGTGTGTAAATAGGTTTTTTCCTTTGCTATCTTATGGATGAGTAGACCAGAATGTATACCTCTTTGCTTTACTCACTTTAACAGAAGAGATAATTATGCCTGCATTTTTTCCAATTTTTGTCACTATTCTTGTGTTTATGGCATAATCATTGCTCAGGCCTTGCAAAATACAGCTTTGTGCCCCATATGCATAGTATCCATATTCTGTGTAAACAGACAATTAAGGAGCCCAGGGTCAAATTGGGGCTTTTTTTAGTGTTTCTCTGGAGGTTTGTTGAGTGTTAAAAATTCTGGAAACAAGCAAAAGTATTTTCAAGAAGTTGGGGGGTGGTGTTGGGGGCTGGAGGGGGAAGCAAAGTATAAAGGTTTTATTGAAATCAATATTTAAGTAAACTTTTTGTCTGTTTTCAAAGTAAGTTTAAGATTTTGGGCTACTTGATTTCAAATCTGTGCTAGACTCATGCAAAGCACCAGCAATTTCCCTGCAAATTGTACCTCCTGGGGAGGACTTCATACCATGCTTCCAGAAGAGGTCACAGAATATAGATGTAAAATGTTTCAATGCTTGGAAGTCAAAGTGCAACATATTCACTTATATTCATTCCTTTGCTTTAAAACTACTAAGGGGGTGAGACTGCTTTGCAGGGAGAGAAACTTGGTGGTGGATGAAAACAAATCTGTTCTGCCTGTTGAAGCTGAATAGGAAGTGAAAAATGATGCTGTCTAGTCAGCGTGGGAATTGTGGATAGCTATTCAGCCTGTAATGCTTCTAACAAGTTGACAAAATGTAATCAGGAATCAACTTGCTCTCGCACTGGTTGTAGGAATCCTGGTGGGACCTGAGCATCCTTCTCAGTTTAAAAATCAATAGGGATCTGTACTTCAGGCTCCTCTTAAAATAAATATCTGTGAGATTTGTACAATGTGTTTCCACTTGGGTGGAAATGCTTGATTGTATTCTGTTCTACAGCAGTGGGACAGAGGATCTTATTTCCTCTAGTTTCCTATTAATTACAGATTTGCAATTCTGTACTTTTTGAGTGTGTTCATTGTTCTTGAACTGTTTTTCTCTTTCTTTCCTGAAATCTTTTGCAGCCATTACTGTTCTCAAGGACAAGGAACCTGGGTCATTCATTGTTCGAGACAGTCATTCTTTCCGGGGAGCCTATGGACTAGCAATGAAAGTTGCTACACCACCTCCTTCCGTGCTGCAGTTAAAGAAAGGTACTGTATGGCTTCTATCTATAATTTAACAAGCCATACACAGTAGGAAGTCCTTATTACTGGGTAATAATCTGGTGGAATCTTCCTCTCTTCTCAAAAGTGGAGCTTGAATTACTGGCTGCATTTGGTACCTTGTTAAATGAGGCTGGATAAGATGCCTGTTGTACTATACAGTTTCACCATGACTTCTATGTTCATTGTGTACTTTATCAACCTAACAGAAAATCAGTGTCATCTCATTAATTGGTTCTCTCTAGTAATCAGAAGTCTGCATTTGGTCACAGACTGCCATGTTAAGCTTTCGCTTGGCTAGAGGGTTGAATATTTTTGACCCCAGAGTTTTGTTTTGAGACAGTTCTACTTCAGATATAAATCTGAGGAGGTTCCTTAAGGAAATACGATAATTGTTAAAAGAAATGATGAAATACACCTACTCTGCCAGCTTCAGTGCCTCCATGTATAGCTTGTACCTGATGCTTGTGAAAGGTAAAATGAGAAGGACAAACAGAAATCATTAGTCATTGTATGGAAACTCATCAGCCAGTATCTGTGGTGTTCTTGGTTCCATTTGTGCTACTCCGGGGTAGTGTAGTGGTTTTTATTGCTGCTGGTTTTCTTTTATAAAGCTCATTATGTTTAATTGGTACATGCTGGCTGGTGAGGTAAGCTTCCGAGATCACAGGAAAGCAATGATTCTTAGTATTGTGGTTGTGGAAGTGTGGCTTTGTCTGTTTTGATTTGTTTGTTTGTCTCTTGGTTTGGTTTTTTTGGGTTTGTCTTTGCTTACTCTGGGGCAAGGTTAGCAGTCCACTTCTATTACAGTAGTGCTTTCAAATTGTGTTTCAATCTGGTATTTTGAAACAATTTTTAATAATTTTTCACATAGTCCTTCTTTTTATTGCCAGTAAACATCAGCAGAACCAGTGCAATGTCTTATTTAATGAAGACAACAGAGGGTGCATTGGGGTGGTGATAGCAACAAGGAAACAAATTGAGAGTAGCTGTAGGTGTTTTTAGTAATCTTTTAGTGAAGAATCTTTTAGTAATCTGACCAGTGATGTCCCAGAAGACATGAAGTTCAAACTCTTCTAGCCTTTAAGAGACGGTTTACGTTAGTTGAACCACAGGCAAGTAGTAGTAAGACTAGCATTCTTCCACATCTCACACTGTGATACTTAGGTTTTTTGGTTCCTACTGTTTCATCCCAGGGGACACAAGTTTGTTCAGTTTTCTGCA